TAAGCATCAGGCTTTCAAATGAATTAAAAGTCTGTCTTGGTCTTTTATTAATCATAAAAACAAATCAGCAGATCCACAAATTATGATTACAGTCTTTTCAGCTATAGAGGTAAAGGTATACTTCATGCACTTATCAGCATACAGTTTAAAGGCTTGCATTTAAACTGCATTGGTGCACACTTGGGCATCTTTTGTTTAACATGGTTATACCATTGTGAATTTTGCTATTTAAATATACTCAAGAGTCTATCGTGTGTTGCATATGTGTGACATCCAGCTAAAAATCGAAAATATATATTTTTAAATCAGTAACTTTGCAAATTTAGAGGAAATGTTTTTGGACAACAAATGAGTCGCCTTTTAAACAGGGTTTGAATAATTAGCGCTGACAGACAGCCATTTATGAAGCGACGGCTATAACAGACATACTTACCGTGTGAAAGGACCGCGGATGTCTTGGAGCAGTGAAGCACGCTGTATTGTTGCTTTTCTCTTACGCATAAGCAACGCCAGCCTGTCAGAAACGCTCTGTGCAGGCAAAGCCGGTTCCAACGCACGTCGAGGCATCAACTGGCCTTTCTGCCGGCTGACTGGTCCCTCAGCTTTCATGCTGGGATCTGCAGCACAACTTCGCACTGGCTACTGGGGCACGGCAAAACTTGCAAGTCCTAGTTTTGGTGCTTCACTGCTCGCAGAGAATTAACAATGGTGGCTTCTGAAGTGAGCGAGCTTTATTGCGACAGTGATGTACCAAACAAAGGAAAGGATGGCGAGAAACAGAACTGAAAACACTCTAAACTGGGGGAACTGGAACTTAAACAACAAAACAACAATACCTTGCAGGGAGGACAGCGCGGGGAGAATGCACAGGGAGACGGAAGATACACAGGCAGGGATGACACCAAACAGAGAGAGCACAAACTAAACCCTGGGAAACCAAAACACAACAGCATAATACATAACAATATCAAAAGAAAAAGTACAACAACCAAAAACACTGGGTCACCGACCCAGGACCATGATATTTATTTTCCTTCATGCTTCTCTTTTGGAATTCTGCTCATATATCATCTCTTTTACCTTTGTTAGAGTAACGGACTTAAGGAAAAAATTCTGTCCAGTGCTATGGACTGTTTTACCCCAGCAACTATCTGATAAGCTTTCAAAATATACAATAAATTTAAAAAAGTACACAAGTTACACTATAACATGAAACAAACAATGAATTTATTTTGAAGTTTAGGTTCGTTTCCGGTTACGCCCACTGAAATATTTTGAAAGTTGCAGCCGGAAACGTGAGTAGATTTGCCAACTGTTGTGGGGATGCTGAGGAGAGAGCATCCTTCACTGTAGGTTTTCACACACACACAGGCCGTGTGTTTTATACGCCGTGATGTTACAACGCCGAGCAGTGTTACATTTTACTTGACTGCCGTGAGTTGCTCTTACACGGAAAACTACGCTTTCAAGCTAAGCTAGGAGCTGACACTCCAAGATTAGCGATGGTGGATTTGTCCGAAGGTGGTGCAGTGTCAGTCGGACACAACAGAGACAGACAGGGATCAGGTTCGGGTAATAATGATAGGATAACGTCGAAGAAGTCTCGAACGAGAAGAGGCAAAAGAGGAAAGAGAAGGAGGAACAAAAAGAACAACAGAAACAAAACGCCACCGCCGTATTTACCACCGGAGGTAGCTACCCTTCTATAGCCTGGGCATGATTATGGGACCTCCAGCCCGCTAAGCTAGCTAGTGATACTGTAGCAAACCATAGTCGAGCGCAGGTTATTTGCGGCTACACTTTGTTTACACCATACAGCTACCTATAACATGGCGGAAAATACTCTTATATGACCTTGATTTTACACAACAATATTTTACCGCTGTCTGGTTTGAAGGAAACTCATTCCACACGCAGAGGCCAGAGATTTTGACGCATTCTCATAAAGTGAAGTGAAGAATTCAGCAATACTAATTCAGCAAAATAATCTGTGTTTTTTTTCTACATTTTTATACGTTTTAGCTCGACTGGAGCAAAGTTAAGAATGGTGGGAGATATATGGAATAGCAAACCGTTGAGAAAATATATTAAAATGAAGTACGCAGTGCAAAGACAATTGACTAGTAATCGAGATACTAATCCACTTAATAAAGGAAGTGGCCTGAGCAATCCATTAGATTGTGATTAATCACAATGTAATTTATCGCAGGAAACTGAAATTGCAGGAGGATTTCACTAAATCAGGGGGTGATCGTGGCTCAAGAGTTGGCAGTTCGTCTTGTAATTGGAAGGTTGTTGGTTCGAGCCCCGGCTTGGACAGTCTTGGTTGTTGTGTCCTTTGGCAAGACACTTCACCTACTGCCCACTGGTGATGGCCAGAGGGGCCAATGGCGCAATATAGCAGCCTCCCTTCTGTCAGTCTGCCCCAGGGCAGCTGTGGCTCCACTGTAGCTTGCCTCCACCAGTGTGTGAATGATTAGTGGAGTTGTAAAGCGCTTTGGGGGTCTCAAAAAGCGCTATATAAATGCAATCCATTATTATTATTAAATCCGGTTGGCAAAAAAGGGCATGCAGTAGGAGGAGCCACATAAGTATGTTTAGCTAAAAGTATGTTTTCTTAACACAGTGATATGTAACAGCACATCTGGAAACCTGACTGTAGTAATAGTGTTTGTTTAGAGTTGATGCTTCACTTAAATAAATACATTAGCAAGATTTTAATGAGAATACACACACACACATATGAATACATCCAGAATACATACATTACTAGATTAATGAAAAGTGTGCAAAGAGAAACTAAGAAAATGGCCCAAAAAATGTTAGGCCCTGAAAAGTTGAAAAAGCGGAATTTGAGGTTGTCCACTAAATCTTGAAAAAAGCAGATTGATGTAGTTAAATCATTTTGTTTGTTAGTTTTTGTCTGTATGTCTAATACAGAGAAAGATCCAAGATATAAGGAGTATATAAAGAGTAATCTACCCTCCAATAAGTAGAATACAGCATATAAATATGACAAATTGCAGATTCAGAGATATATGTATGTGTTTTTCTGACTGTATAGATGACAAACAAATACAAAGAAAACCTTTCAAACATGAAAACACATTAAGTCAATACATATGCTAAGACCTATACTATGAAACTGACGACAGCATGTTGTAGGTAAACAAGTAGTTGAGACACAATTCTGCTGCTATATGCTATATACCTGTTGTTGAGAAACACACCCACAGTGACCTCTCTGGGTGGCGACTTCTAGTGTTTTAGTTCATCCTGGCAGTGATGAATGACGGCTGAGTGTCTCTGTTACCAACATTCTGGGGAGTTGAACACTTTCTTCTGGATTTGAAAATTGAAAAACTGTTGCCAGGGTGGCAACATACCTTTGACTACATGATCTATGTTATAGTTAGAACAGTTTTGTTCATATCATTAATGTGTTAACTAACCTTATCCCTACATTTCTCTACATTTCCAGGCTGAAGAAGGGAACATTGAATATAAGGTAACTAACCTTCTGTTTCTTATCCAAATTATAGAATAGAATAGAATAGAATTCAACTTTATTGTCATTGCACATGTCACAGGTACAGGGCAACGAAATGCAGTTTGCATCCATCCAGAAGTGTTTTAGCCATGATATAGATATATTACAATATATATTAGCAATGATATAGATGTGAGTATATTACAGAAATGGGTCTATTATGGTATGTTATAATGTACACGGTATGAAGTATGTTATGAATATGCTATAACTATAAGTATGTACAGGCTGTAGTGAGTACAAGCTATGAACAGGATATAAATATGAAAAACTATACAGAAATGTGAACTATGCAAGTTGTAAACACTTGTAGAATTAAAAATTATCGTATGATTATTTACACAGAACTATGCAGTAGTGCAGTTAAGAGGCTATATAAAGTGCTAGTGGTTGTGAGTGGTGGTTCAGTCCATGTTATTATTGTGTGTTTGAGGGTACAGTTGTCCATTGTGGGTGTGTGTATGTTCAGTCCATGTGTTAACGTGGGTCAGATGTCAGGAGGCAGAGTTCAGGAGTCTGACAGCTGTGGGGAAGAAGCTGTTCCGGTACCTGGTGGTCTTAGTCCGGAGGCTCCTGTAGCGCCTCCCAGAGGGCAGGAGGGTGAAGAGTCCATGTGATGGGTGACTGGGGTCTCTGATGATTTTCCCAGCCCTTTTCAGACACCGCTTCCTGTAGATGTCTTTTATGGCAGGAAGTGGTGCTCCGGCGATGCGCTGGGCAGTTTTCACGACCCTCTGCAACGCCTTCCGGTCCGAGGCAGAGCAGTTCCCGTACCAGACTGTTATACAGTTGGTCAGGATGCTCTCGATGGTGCACGATAGAAGTTCACCAGGATGTCTGAGGACAGGTGGTTCTTCCTCAGAGTCCTCAAGAAGAAGAGGCGCTGGTGAGCCTTCTTGACCAGCTTGGAGCAGTTGGTCGTCCAGGTGAGATCCTCGGAGATGTGGACTCCCAGGAACTTGAAGCTGCTCACACGCTCCACAGCCGTCCCCTTAATGTGGATGGGTGGATGTGGGTCAGCTATTATGATGTGATGAACTTCTTTTCATTTGTAAGCTGTTAAAGTTTTTTAACCCTCAGCCATAAAAGGTCTTGCCATCACCTGCTGGGCGATGAGCAAGCAGATGGCGTGAACACAAAAGGTTGTGAATGCGATAACTCATGAACGAAGGGATTTAGCTTCAGTTTGATGTCTGCTAAAAGTCTTGAATGAGTTTGAATCTCAGTAGCCTTGACCTCAAGGTCAGATGTCAAGTTTTCAGAAAATCTTGTGAATGTGATAACTCAAGAGAAAGTCCAACTTATTACCACCAGCAGCACCTGTGTGACAGAGAGCATGTTTGGCTACAAAGAAAAAATAATAAAAAAAATAAGAGTCAATTGATGCTACTAAAAACAGCTATCTGAGAAAGGATTAGATAATTGTGGAAAAGACTAGGAAAATTATGTTGCATATCTTAGATTGATTAGTTAGTTCGTGCACATAAATGGACAAATATTGAGTGATTCCATATTTTTAACCATTTTATGAATAATTAATTCAGCAGTGGGCTAATAAAATGCTTAACATACTAGGAAGGTATTGATAACTACACTAAAAATGTGGTCATCAAAACTGTCACCCAGTGGTGAGGTTGTTGTTAAATGCTGTATATTCTTATTATAGGTATTTTCTTTAGGTTCCTAAAATATCTTCAAAGTTTTGAAATAAACTTGGTGAACCAGCAGGAACCCGAATTTTGTCTGATTTTAGCCTAATGGCATAAAGGCATCCTTCTTCCTAAGCTCCTTACAGTTCCTAAAATTAATTACTGCCCACTTAAAAACATCAGATTTTTTATCTCTGTCATCTGTTTATGGGCTGGATAGCTGTGCTGAATTAGACCGTCACATGTATTCAGGGTAACTCTGCTCTCATCTGTGAATACTGCAGTCTGCCAGTGGTGGATCTGCTAATTCTGGTATCCTATGGCATTTTCTATGGCAAATGCCAGTTGGATTCCACTGTGCTGGGCAGGGCCCACTAGAGCAGTGGTTCTCAAAATTTTCACAATGAGTATCACCTCGTCAGTCCAATAATCGACGATGGGCAAAATATCCGCGCATGCGCAGACTTTTTGATGGGCAGAGCAATGTAGTCATGCACGGACTGACATGGACAAACTAATTTCCCCCCAAAAAATTAGGGCTGTCACGATTAACGTGATTAAAATTTTTAACACGCTCAACCAATCTGGACAGCAGAATGAAAAACCTTTGAACAAACTGCCTGAAATGTGTTGACAGAGACATTTCAGGGATTTTGACTCAGTTTGCACTCCAGATGGGTTAATTGTTAATCGCGTTAGTCATGATGACGGCACATTGAAGCTGACAGCACTAAAAAAAATTAAGTATAAAGTCGCCAATTTGGGATTTCTTTGGCTTTTAACTGGATGAAAGAGGTAAACCTAAGGATGTAATCAAAGCAGTGTGCTGCTTGTACAGACGTGTTATGCGCACATAACTTGCATGAGCATGTACGTGTCCACCATCTGGCTGAGTATGCTAGGCTATCACCAGCTTCTGCAGCTCCATCAACAAGCATTTGGGAACACTCTGAGGAGGGTGCATTTGCTCGCAGATGAAAGAGTTAAAACAGTGTTAGCTCCATCATTATTAGCAAACTTACTCATGGGCAAACAAATAAATAAATCGCTCTTATAAAAACAATCGCTGATGGGCTCAGCCTATTGTCGATAGTAGATATATTCGTCCAATCGCCCAACCCTAGTATGAACCCTACTTCCAGGTCCAAATTGGTCTGCGTTTATTAAGGCTGTTGTGTTTTTAACATGTTTTATTGCTTTGGATCTTGTTCTCTTTAATATGAACAATCCCCTAAAAAAGGCTGTGATCACTGTTGGCCTTTCTCCGTTTTTATTACCACTGTTCATTTTAAAGCTCAGTTTTTAAAACCTTATGATATAACTACAGCCCAGCCCATGCAGCAGTAAAACTAACCTCATATTGTGGATGGATAATCTCAGTTGTTCTCCTGACTAAAGTTTGGTTTGTTTACAGTATCCTGCCATGCAGTTGTATTGGTCCCTAACCATGGGGAACCCTCACATTAACTTTTATTGAATGGAAAAAGATTAGCGTTCATCCTCCAACTTCACTGTGTTTATATTATGCTAACCATCACATAGCACATCATTATATGCACGCTAGCCCAGCTTTAGTACCTTACAAACGTCACTGCTGTTTAGTTTTCTGACTTCATTTATGTCGGAAGTGATAGCACAGCTGTACGTTTTAATTTTTCAGAAATCCCTCAGTCAGAACATGGTATATTATTTAATCTTAAAAATTTGTGGGGCAGACTTCCCACATACCACTAGAGGGAGGGTGATATTAAAGTCCTGTTTGTGGCAGGACTCACATATATTAGTATATGTGAGGGGGCAAACTCCTCAAGATGGGTGGTGACCATGGTGGCCATTTAGAAGTCGGCCATCTTGGATACAACTTTTGTTTTTTCAATAGGAAGAGGGCCATGTGACACATCAAACTTATTGGTAATGTCACAAGAAAAACAATGGTGTGCTTGGTTTCAACGTAACTTGAACAGGACTTTAATATCACCAACCATTCCCATGTTATTACGGTGTATCCATATAAATGGCCCACCCTGTAGTCAGTTTCTGAGTGTTTGGTCAGAGACATTAACAACAACCCTTATGTAGGTTTTCACTTTCAGTAGTATCAATGTTTGTACAAGTAATGTCTATATGTTGATTCATGGTTTTCTTTGGGGGGTATCTGCTATAAAAAGACATGGCCAGGAAAATCTCCTTCATATTTTTCTGTGTTTAATCATCAGTTACTTTGACACAATGGCATCTGCTGTGATGCTGATGAGGTCTCAGAAGTGTTAGCTTTATTTATATACCTAGATAGTTTACACTATTTCTCTATTGCAGAAAAAGTGTCACATAGTTTGGAATTAAATATTTGTAATTTACAAGGTTTCGAGGGTGCTTTCGACGGTACGTATCCAAGATAAATGACCATAAGTATATGTTTCTGACAGAGTCAAAATTAAATTGAATATAATCAGGACTTTCTGAATCAGAATCAGAATTAAATCCTTCAGTTTTGAAAATCTTGGTTTTAGTGTAGCTGACTTTTTTTATTTTACCTCAGAACTCCTATGCAAGCAGTGCTCTAGTTAAACTGTGGCCATTTACTACCTGTATCATTATGTATTTTCTATACTGTAGTTGAAGCTGGTCAACCCCACACAGTACCGCTTTGAGCATCTGGCCACACAGCTGAAGTGGCGACTGCAGGAGGGCCGTGGCGAAGCTGTCTACCAGATAGGAGTAGAAGACAATGGTCTGCTAGTCGGCCTGACTGAGGCTGACATGAAGGCCTCACTCAACACTTTAAAGAAGATGGCAGAGAAGTAGGTCATCTTGTACAATTTATTTGCTGACATTAAGACGTCACCAAAGAATATATATAAGTGTCTTCACTCTGGTGTCACTCATTAGTTTTGGACTCCACAATGTTAGTGTCATGCTGGTTCTTTTGCAGCCAGAAATTACTATGTTTGGAGGACAGGGTGGCATGCTAAGTATCTGTTAAGCTTAGCAAGCTTGGTTAGCAAGCTTCATTCATAATATGGATCAGTGTAACATGTAGATTACTAACCCTTATTTTCTGGGGAAACATCGAACCATTCCCAGGCCATCTGTTGGATGTAATCTCTCCAGTAGGTCCTGGGTCTACGCTGGACATGCCTAGCCTGAAAACTATCCAGGAGGCGACAGTCTCAGCTGGCTCCTTTCAATGTGAAGTAGTATCGGCCTATCTGAGCCCCTCCTGAATAACTGAACTGTTAACAAAAACATCAGGACTAGATTAACAAATTTATTTATCAGCAACAGTGCTTCATCTGGTGACATGACTTGACATGACATGAAAGTTTGGAAGGAGCCACCCAACTCCATCAATATATGTCAAACCACGAGCTCCATGAATCCGTACAGTCTGGCTTCAGAACACACCACAGGACTGAGACTACTCTTATCAAAATAGCTAATGAAATCATGACAGATGATTTTGGCCACATCAGTATCCTCAAGTTCCCAGATCTTTCTGCAGCCTTTGGCACTTGTTCTCACACCATCCAGCTTTCACATATATCCAGATATCTTGTCCTCACTGGTACTGTAATCTCCTGCTTTCAGTCCTACCTCTCCAACCCAACACAGTTTGTCACTGCAGAAGGCTCCCACTCCCCGTCTGCCCTGGTTAACCACGTTGTGTCTCAAGGTTCTGTGCTTGGACCCCTTCACTTCACCATCTATATGCTCTCTCTTGGTCAGATGGTCTCTGCCTGTGTTGTTACACACAATGTTATCTCAGCACCAAACCCTCCACCCAGTTCCCCCCGCAATTGCTTGTCAAATGTCTGCATTGCTTCAGAACATGGATGTCATCTAACCTACTTCAGCATCAATAGTAATAAAACTGATCTCTTGGTTCTGGCCCCCAAAGCCCTACTGTGGAAAACTGGTGTTCCACTCATTGTCGCAGAAAGACGCCTCCTCTCACTTTCCCCAGAAGTTCACAACCAGGGTGTTGTTTTGGACTCTGCACTTTAAGTCCAGGCTTATATCCAATCTGCCACAATCTCTCTCAACTTTGGCCATCACTCACTGACTCAGATAACTTCATCCATTAAGGCTTTGTCACCACCTGGCTGGATTACTGCAGTCGGGCCCTGTTCAGAATGTCCAGCAACCCCTGGACAGGCATTGTCCAAAACTCAGCACTTTCTAACACACACTAAGCTCTGGAATTAGAGAAGGTTCAGTATATCAGTATTGATTATTAAATATGTAATGCGACATATCCCATCGCAATCTTACTTAAAGTACTAAATACCCAACTCTATGCTGTACTCACCATTAGCAGTCTTGCTAATCTTGAATGTTCTAATGTTTGTTTGTTTATTTAATTGTTTTTTGATAGTAATGTAAAGCACTTTTAATTTTTGTAGTTAACTTTCCACACATGACACAGAATGCCTAATTACATTTTCTTAGGTACATAAATCTACAATCATTAGGCAGGTTTCCAGTCACTGTTTGAAATAAATTGAAACTGGGAGAAGCCGTCTAAGAAAAATTATTACTGCTTTGCTCAGTAAATTGATTGGGATCAGTGTAAACTAAATGAAAATTGAATGATAAAACTTAAGTCTTTTTCTTTCATTTCAGAGTCGGGGCTGACATCACTCTCCTCCGAGAGAGGGAGGTTGACTACGACTCAGACAGAAACACGCGCAAAATTGCAGAAGTGCTTGTTCGAAAAGTTCCTGATGATCAGCAGGTTAGAGTCTGTCTGTTACACATGGTAGAGGAAAAAGAGTCCAGTTGAATCTGGCAAAACAACAGTGGTGTCAAAATACAGCAATACTCTAAAAAGGATCACAGCATTGCCCATTTAGGCTTTAACTATAGAGAGCACCAAGGGTTCTTTTTTTAAACAGTGCTGTTTAATGGTTATGAAAATATGATCCCATTTTCTGTCTTGCTGTTTTGGTCTGCAACAGTTCCTGGATCTGCGGGTGGCAGTGCTAGGCAATGTGGACTCTGGGAAGTCAACCTTGCTGGGTGTCCTGACACAAGGCGAGTTGGACAATGGACGAGGCCGTGCACGGCTCAACCTTTTCAGACATTTGCATGAGATCCAGACCGGACGCACCTCCAGTATCAGCTTTGAGATCTTGGGCTTCAACAGCAAAGGAGAGGTAATCGCTTTGCCACTTAGGATATTAGCAATATTCAGAAGTTTACATTCACTATGGACATGAATTCATGCTACCTTGGGGCTTTTAGTGATTTCTTTGAACTGTTCTTTTTCCAGGGTGGAATGATTGTACAGTATACATCTTTAATGACTTTATAAACAACAGATTTAAATCTTTTAACAAGTGGTGTAGAGGGTTCTAGTGTCTTTTAACTTGATATAAATTTCTTGTCACATTTTTGGAGCATGCTTTTGGAATGGATAAAGCAGGCCAACATTAAGCTTCAAGGAATGGTCTTTGCCACACCCTCAACACAAAAATATAAATTTGTGGACTATGCTTAAAAGCCAAATTGATTTCAAGAAAATCACTTCAAATACTCTAAAATTCTAGAGAGTGGTCTAATATTCAGCCAGAAGTAGGCCAGGATCTTTTTAATTGCTGCCAGAAGCATCTGGTCAATGTGGGACATTTAACTTTTGTTTGCTCTGTTTTTTGAAACAGCTTTGTAACTTTATTTAAAGTTCAGTTTGAAATTTTGCATAATGCTCTTCTTTTACCATTGCTAAATTATTTAGATGTGTTAAGGACTGTATTCTGTTATCTTTTGTTTATTAGTAGGTTCTAAAATATATTTTGCCTTCACAATCTCTAATGAAATCCTGAAAAAAATAATAATAATAAAGATTTATGGTGTATAACAATTTCACCTTTAGAAGCCCAAAATTACCATCATGCCCATGACGAGTGTATGGAAACTTTTCATTACAACTATATATCAGATATTGACTAATTTATTTCATGGGTCATATTTCTGCTTTGTAGATTGGCCTCTCACCATAGTGTTAAATGCAGTGTGTCAGACACAGTGAAGAACTACAGCATTTGAAATTTGGCATGTATATTTTTAATGTGCTGCCTAATTGATTCTCTACCTGACTCTTAAAAATCAGTCAGGTAGAGAAAAAACATTTTGTGGTTGTTGTTGCCATTGCTGCACACCACAACTCAGGGTATTAGCATATTTATATTTGTAAACAATCCCTGACAATAAACAATCAAACTGTAAAAACAAAACAAAAGACGTGTTTTATTTCAATTCTGTCCTTTGGTGCAGCCTGTCTTGTATGTTACCTGTAAAAGGTTGTGAACTACAGTGAGTCCAGGACAGCTGAGGAGATCTGCGAAAGTTCTTCCAAGATGATCACCTTCATCGACCTTGCAGGACACCACAAGTATTTAAAGACCACCATCTTCGGCCTCACAAGTTATTGCCCTGACTTTGCCATGCTGGTGGTGAGCGCTAACACTGGTATTGGTAAGTAGCCTGTATTTTGTTTTTTGTGTTTTTTTAATATCTAAAACCTGTGGGTAAGCCACAGATTTACATATCCAGTCAATTGAGAACATGCAAACTCCAGAAAAAATGGCCCAGGAATACCAAGAACCTTTTTAGAGACTTAACAACTGCATCACTATGTCCAGAAGATAAAAATTCTATGTGTAAATTTTGTAGGAATATTGTTTCTAGTTGGACGTGATTGTAGCAGGGTTCTTTTGCTCTTCCAGTGCCTTAACGCAAACTGATACAGTGGGGCAAAAAAGTATTTAGTCAGCCACCGATTGTGCAAGTTCCCCCACCTAAAATGATGACAGAGGTCAGTAATTTGCACCAGAGGTACACTTCAACTGTGAGAGACAGAATGTGAAAAAAAAATCCATGAATCCACATGGTAGGATTTGTAAAGAATTTATTCGTAAATCAGGGTGGAAAATAAGTATTTGGTCAATAACAAAAATACAACTCAATACTTTGTAACATAACCTTTGTTGGCAATAACAGAGGTCAAACGTTTACTATAGGTCTTTACCAGGTTTGCACACACAGTAGCTGGTATTTTGGCCCATTCCTCCATGCAGATCTTCTCGAGAGCAGTGATGTTTTGGGGCTGTCGCCGAGCAACACGGACTTTCAACTCCCGCCACAGATTTTCTATGGGGTTGAGGTCTGGAGACTGGCTAGGCCACTCCAGGACTTTCAAATGCTTCTTACGGAGCCACTCCTTTGTTGCCCGGGCGGTGTGTTTTGGATCATTGTCATGTTGGAAGACCCAGCCTCGTTTCATCTTCAAAGTTCTCACTGATGGAAGGAGGTTTTGGCTCAAAATCTCACGATACATGGCCCCATTCATTCTGTCCTTAACACGGATCAGTCGTCCTGTCCCCTTGGCAGAAAAACAGCCCCATAGCATGATGTTTCCACCCCCATGCTTCACAGTAGGTATGGTGTTCTTGGGATGCAACTCAGTATTCTTCTTCCTCCAAACACGACGAGTTGAGTTTATACCAAAAAGTTCTACTTTGGTTTCATCTGACCACATGACATTCTCCCAATCCTCTGCTGTATCATCCATGTGCTCTCTGGCAAACTTCAGACGGGCCTGGACATGCACTGGCTTCAGCAGCGGAACACGTCTGGCACTGCGGGATTTGATTCCCTGCCGTTGTAGTGTGTTACTGATGGTGACCTTTGTTACTTTGGTCCCAGCTCTCTGCAGGTCATTCACCAGGTCCCCCCGTGTGGTTCTGGGATCTTTGCTCACGTTCTCATGATCATTTTGACCCCACGGGATGAGATCTTGCGTGGAGCCCCAGATCGAGGGAGATTATCAGTGGTCTTGTATGTCTTCCATTTTCTGATGATTGCTCCCACAGTTGATTTTTTCACACCAAGCTGCTTGCCTATTGTAGATTCACTCTTCCCAGTCTGGTGCAGGTCTACAATACTTTTCCTGGTGTCCTTCGAAAGCTCTTTGGTCTTGGCCATGGCGGAGTTTGGAGTCTGACTGTTTGAGGCTGTGGACAGGTGTCTTTTATACAGATGATGAGTTCAAACAGGTGCCATTCATACAGGTAACGAGTGGGGGACAGAAAAGCTTCTTACAGAAGACGTTACAGGTCTGTGAGAGCCAGAGATTTTCCTTGTTTGAGGTGACCAAATACTTATTTTCCACCCTGATTTACGAATAAATTCTTTACAAATCCTACCATGTGGATTCATGGATTTTTTTTTCACATTCTGTCTCTCACAGTTGAAGTGTACCTCTGGTGCAAATTACTGACCTCTGTCATCATTTTAAGTGGGGGAACTTGCACAATCGGTGGCTGACTAAATACTTTTTTGCCCCACTGTACGTTATGAACAGAGCAGGTTTCTCTTTGATTGTGTAGGGTTTCATTTGATGAAGACATTATCTAGGAGTTAGTTGGATAAAAGAGGTGTCATGACGTGGTATAAAAGATACAAGAAACAAATGAGATGTGTTGTCTGTCCAAACACACTTGTATTCTACCTGTCTGGATCACTTGGAACCCCGGGCGAGCAGATACTAAAAAGTACCTGGTAACAGGAACTAATGGAAAACCCTATAAAAACTGGCAAACCGTGCCGACTTGCTCTGAGTAGGTACTAATGGAAAAAGGGCTTTGAATTTTGTTTTTATAATTATTCTTTACTTGCTTTCAGACCATTATGCGACCATCTGCAGCTGCAGCTGAAATAATAAAAACTAAAACTGTCTTGTGCAAATTTAAACATTAGTCAAACAGAATGCTCATCTACACCTCATCAGATTCTTCCGTGACTTAATGATAGAGGCATTGACAAGTCTGTTAACACACCCAGCATTTTTACAAGCTTTCCTTCATGTGTCAAATAGGCTACACTTTAGTAATAAAGCACCTCTTTTCTAGTCTTACTAACCTATAACATTTAAGACACAGAGTGATTTTAACAATAATCGACTATACAGTAATTTTTTTCCTCTCCACTTCTAATCCTGGTTACCAGTGTTTGGGTAAGTGAATCCAGATAACTGACAGATACTCTAGGTATGTTTAACTCACTTCATAGTACAGAGTCCAGGCCTCTGACTACTTTCTAGGCACAAATAATTTGAATATTTAAAAATTAAATAGAATTGTTCTCACTTGGATCCAACTGCCTTGTAACGTTTAGATTTCCTATGCACATAAGATGCGAAACATCACAAGACAAGTATTCTGGGTAATTGAGTATTTTATTTTTTTCCTTCATCCAGCTGGTACAACTAGGGAACACCTGGGCTTGGCCATGGCGCTGAAAGTTCCTATCTTCATTGTAGTCAGTAAAGTGGACCTGTGTTCCCGAGGCACTGTGGAGCGAACAGTCAGACAACTAGAGCGAGTTCTGAAGCAGCCAGGCTGCAACAAGGTGCCCATGGTGGTGTTGAACCCTGACGATGCTGTGAGTGCAGCACAGCAGTTCACCCAGTCCACATGGTGAGTAAAAATACTCAATACTTATCAGCTACTGTGTATGGCGGGGAATAGCTTAATTGTACAGTGTATACAGCAGTATAAACAAAATTCACTAATATATAGATAAAGCAGTATATAGTGCTGCAGAAATGATAAGTGAAGGTCATGGAAATACTGCTACGATACACAAAGCACAAAATAACTGTTCTATAATGGATGATAACATTTTCGGAAAACTTGTTTAAAGTCGAATTCATAAATCGCATTGCATTTTGGGTAATCACCACAATGTTGTTGTTCTTGCACATCCAAAGCAAAGACTGACACCAACAGGTAATACGGAGGAAAAGAAACTAATGAACACTAATATTAATATTGCACTGTAATAGTGACCTTGCATGGTCTACTTACAGTGGGATGCAAAAGTTTGGCCAACCTTATTAATAGTCATTATTTTCCTGTATAAATCGTTGGTTGTTACAATAAAAAAATGTCAGTTAAATATATCATATAGGAGACACACACAGTTAGGGCTGGGTGATATGGCCCAAATCCATATGGCGATATAATTTGAAGCATGTGCGGTAACGATATATATCGCGATATATTCTTTTCTTCTGTATAACATATTTTCCACACTATAAGGCACACTTAAAATCCTTTAATTTTCTCAAAAATTGAGTGTGTCTCATGTATGAATTCTGGTTGTGCTTACTGACTTCGAACCGATTTTGGCATGCAGAAATCTGTTAAAAAATGTTTTGATGGATTGTCAGAGCATTACGGCTGCCGTAGTAAGGAGCTTCGCAGAGTAATCCGGGTCCAAAACTCCGTCTGCTTCAGGTCCCAAAGTCAAACGAACACTGAGACAAAGGAGAATCATTTCTCCTCTTATCCGTTCGTACGGATTTCCAGCACCCGTACGAACCCTGAAAATCATCAGCGTTGCTGCTTTAGCAGGTGTAACAATTAAGTTTAACATCCAGGCATCCACGAAAACAGAATTTATTAAATTTAACGGAGTTAGAAGTTAACAGGAAGTTAGCTCGCTAGTTTCCACCTAAACATGACATACCATGTTCTGACTGAGAGATTTTTGAAACTAATTAAAACGTACAGCTCTGCTACCACTTCCAACATAAATGAAGACAGGAAACTAAACAGCAGTGGCGTTTGCAGGGTTACTGAAGTTGGACTACCTGGTATATAATGTTGTGCTACGTGATTGCTAGCGACACAGCTATGTTAGCATAACATTAGCACAGTGAAGCTGGAGGATGAACGCCAACTTTTTTCCACTCGATAAATTTATTTATTTAGTTTATTTTATCACTACCTGTCATTTATTGCAGATTACTTGTATTTGCTTAATTGTTTACTAAATGTTTGAGGTGTGAAAGAAACTACAAATATGGGTGTGTGTGGTTGAAGGATGTGTTCGTGCATGTGCGTGCGCGAGAAGGGGGAGGCGCGAACAGTTTTCTTGTAAAACAAAGGGGGGCCTAGCAAAAAACGTTTGGGAACCACTGGTTTAGGGGAAGGATAAAGAAAGCTGTCTCAGAGATTTAAGCTGTCTGTTTCCACAGTTAGGAACATATTGAGAAAATGGAAGACCACAGGCTCTGTTCAAGTTAAGGCTCAAAGTGGCAAGAAAGTGACCAAGAAAAATCTCGGATAGACAGAAGTGATGAATGGTGAACAGTCAGAGTCAACCCACAGACCAGCACCAAAGACCTACAACATCATCTTGCAGCAGATGGAGTCACTGTGCATCGTTCAACCATTCGACGCACTTTACGCAAGGAGATGCTGTATGCGAGAGTGATGCAGAGGAAGCCTTTTCTCCGCCCACAGCACAAACAGAGCCGCTTGAGGTTTGCTAAAGCACATTTGGACAAGCCAGCTTCATTCTGGAATAAGGTGCTGTGGACTGATGAAACTAAAATTGAGTTATTTGGGCATAACAAGGGGCGTTATGCATGGAGGAAAACGAACACAGCATTCCAAGAAAAACACCTGCTACCTGCAGTAAAATATGGTGGTGGTTCCATCATGCTGTGGGGCTGTGTGGCCAGTGCAGGGACTGGGAATCTTGTCAAAGTTGAGGGACACATGGATTCCACTCAATATCAGCAGATTCTGGAGACCAATGTCCAGGAATCAGTGACAAAGCTGAAGCTGCGCCGGGATCTTTCAACGACCTGAAACACTGCTCAAAATCCACTAAGGCATTCATGCAGAGGAACCAGTACAACGTTCTGGAACGGCCATCTCAGTCCCCAAACCTGAATATTATTGAAAATCTGTGGTGTGAGTTAAAGAGAGCTGTCTATGTTTGGAAGCTATTAAATCTGAATGAACTAGAGATGTTTTATAAAGAGGAATGGTCGAAAATAACTTCAACCACAATCCAGACTTTCATTGGAACCTACAGGAAGCGTTTAGAGGCTGTAATTTCTCAAATATCACTGTGTGTCTGCTATATGATATGTTCAACTGACATTTTTTATTATAACAACCAACGATTTACACAGGAAAATAATGACTATGTAGTAGTTGCACTAAACTGTATTGTAAATCTTAAAAGTAAAAGTCATTCATACATGAAATACTTTTATGTCTTTTGTTGTGGCTCAGTATTTGATTACAGCACTTTGTGTTCTGTTGCAGGAGCAGGAGCTTGTAGTTACTTTGTTCTCCATTGATACTGGTCAGAGATTTCCACAACAACTTTTATGTGTCCGAGGTGTAACATTGTGTGTAGTATCTGTATTATCCCATTATCAACTTGTATTTCTATTAAGAACGGTTTTGTGTTGGTGAATTCACTTATCATTATGTCCACAGTGGAAAAATATTACACTTAATGATGTACTCAATTGAATTTTCACTTCACTGTGTGTGTGTGTGTGTGTGTGTGTGTGTGTGTGTGTGTGTGTGCTGTATTCATTTCTTAAAGTTCTCTCTTTCTCTTATGATAATATAACCACACTACAGATGGACAAGCGCTGTTTTTACTGCGTTGTCGTTAGCAACAACTGACGGTAAAACCATGGCGTGCTCTCCGCTTGTTTTTTTCCACATAAACCTTTCACAATAAAGTTCAAGATCCTGTTGAGACTTTTCAAAATAAACTGACACTCTTACGGAAAGACAGAGTGTTTACAGATGAGAAGTAAAAAAGAGGCGCCAGGTGCTAAAAAATAAAGCTTAGACTCAAACGTTAGAACAGGCTTTTCCCCGCAGCACGCCGTGTAATAAATAACTTAAACCTAAAAATACAGAATAGGGAGGATGGTGTCATCCTCCCTATTCTGGTATTTTAAAGAGTACTTAGCGGAAATATTAAAGAACTATATCTTATTTACAAGAATAATTAGCCCAAGTTACTGCACAAGTATCAGCAAAATAGGTCGATTCATCTTACCTCTATCAATAAATTTGCAGACTAGCAGAGCACTTGGCAACTGGTGTTTACCGATATGGCTTCAAAAAAGGAGCTATTAAAAGTACTGCTCATGAAAGAACACACGTGAGGAGAGGACATTTTTCTTCAGAAACTTTATTGAGAAAACCCAGCTCCCAGTATACAAATAGGTGTCCATCACCACAGACAAAGGGCCTGCGATGATAGCTCAAATGGATTCATTGCCAGTTGCAGGGAGGACGATGCTTTCCCGGACTTCCTCAATTACCACTGCATAATACACACATTATGCACAAAAATGCTTAACATGAAAGAGATAATGGATGTGGCAACAAAGTTCGCCTGTTCCATCGCACCAGATCTCTTCAAAGACGGCTATTTCGTGCGCAACTGGAGGTCCATTCTTAGTTGTTGCTACACACTGACATGAGATGGCTTAGTCGAGGGAAATTCCTGGAAAGATATCGAGAGCTCTGTCCAGAGATTAAGTTTTCCCATGTAGGTAAACATCAGTGTCAGTGAAGTTACTTGAAAAAAGTAATCAGTAACTAATTACTGAATACTTCCCCAAAGTAATCCCATTACTTTACTTATTTTTGAAGTAATTAGTTACTTAGCTACTTTTTAAAAATTTGAACTGTAGTAACTCGCCCCTGCATGCCAGTATAAGCCGTTTTAAACTAACCGAAAACATTGTAATAGGAGATCCTCTGAGATGATAGTAAGTAATAAAAATACAATACGTAAGATATGATCAAGCCCGATTAATTATCATTACTAAAGATCTGTTAAACCTCAAGACTGGCTATGTATGTTGAATTAGAAGTCTTCTCTAAAAGACACCTAAAGGTTGGGGATTAATTTTGAATAACCAAGTAGAGTACTAGTAGTACGTGATTCAATGCATCAAGCGAAAGCCGAAATCAGTCTCGATATTGATCAGATTCCATGATTTGAATGTAATGACGTAGCAGGAGAGGGAG